GACCTTGAGGCACCCACGTCCTGCTGGGGCAGAGGGTTTTCGGGAGAGGCAGCAGTGCGCTCTGGGGTCACAGGGGCCGGTCGGTGCTCTGCGGCCCACCTCACTGGCTTAGACAGAAAGGAAAGGCCGGGTCACCGGGAAGTCTAGAGCAGAGGTTTCGAGAGGCGTGGCTCGTCCCAGGTGACTCAGGGCATTTCCTCTGGGTTGGTTTCACTCCCAGGTGGCCGTTCTATTCATGGTGGCGAGATGCCGTCAGCAGCCCCACGCACACATCTTTCTGTCACCTCCCCCCATTCTGGGAAGGCCTGTGAGCAGTGGGTGAGTCCTCTGACCCCCGCTGCCACTCGGGCCTGAGCCCTCTGACCCTCAGCCAAAGTCCCAGGGCCAACCCTCAGCGGCCAGCACAGGGTCTCTTGCCCTCCTCAGAGCCAGCCAGGTTCACGTGACTCCACCTGCCCCTCCAAACCAGACCCGAGACTCGGGTGGGACGAGGGCAGGAGACACCTGGTTTGCAGAGGAAGCTCTTGGTGTTGGCAGGCTCAAGCCCACTCGTCTAGTAAGGACACCAGCTCAGCGCCTGACTCCAGCGCTTCTGGGCTTAACCACGGAGCCACTGAAGGTCAGTGGGACCCCCAAAAGATTTTAAACGGGAGCAAAGGGTCAGGAATGCAGCCAGAGGGTAAACAGGCTCCGGATTTGGGTGAGCTGTGAAAGGCATGCCAAGAAGGATGAGCGGTGGGGAGTCCTGCAAGATGCTTAGCTGAGGGAGGCAGCTTGGGGAGAATGACTTCCGCCCCCGCCCCTAGACTCGCCCTGTGGGTTGCGAAACCTGGGCACACAGCCACCTGCCCGTGGAGCGTCAGCCACCTGACTCGGTGTTTGTAAACTCAGCTCTCCAAGCCACGCCCCTTCTCCCACCCCGCCCGCCCCTTGGGTCAATATCTGCATAACCACGCCTCCTCGTGCTATGATTGGCTTTTCGCGTCGTCACTCCTCCGCGTGGGCGGGACCCCCGAGGGAAGGAGAGAGGTGCTGCTCTGGGGAAGTGATTAGCATAATCCCGCCTCCCGGCTCCGTGCTCAGGTCTAGCGCTGATTGGGCGAGCGGCAGTCTAGGAGACGGCGCGGGGCGCCTCGAGTGGCTGGCGTGGGCTGTCAGTCGATAGGGCGGCCGGCCGCACTTCCGCCTCGGTGTCAGTGGGTCTTGGGCCTGGTTGGGGGGGCGGGGCGGGCTACGAGGCTCTGCAGGCGCTGAACAGACTACAGTCCAGGTGAGTGACCCCAGCCCGGACCCCGGCCCGGACCCGGGCCCGGACCCTGCGTCCCCGGGAACGGCTTCCGGCCTCGGGCGGGCCTGGGCCCCGGGCGGGAGGCGGGGAGGCCGGGCCGGGGCATCTGGAGCCCTGCGCTCCCCGCTCCGCGACCAGGCCCCGACCGGCCCCGACCCCCGCCTTGCAGCCCCGGCCCAGGAGTCCCAGCCCCGAGGAAACTCGGGGGGAAGTTGGCGGCCGGCGGCAGGGCGGCTGGCCCGGGTCCCGGGCGGCCGCCGGACCCCCGCGTCGCCGGGCAACTGCGGCCCCGGGCGGGACCCGCCGCAGCAGCTGGAAGCGGGTTGGGGGCCGCGCGGAGGCCGGGACGCTCGCCGGTGGCGTCCGCGGGGAGGGGCCGTCAGCTCCGCGGGCTCCCCGGCAGGGGGGCGGTGCGACCCCCGGCTTTCCTCGTGTGTTTGCGGCGAGAAGTCGGTCCCCGGGCTGGTGGCCCGGCGCCTCCCCTGGGGCGACCCCCTGTGGGGCCGCCGCCTCCCGGGGGGGCTGCGCGTGTGCCCGCCCCCCACCCTGCTTTGTTTTGTTTCCAACCCGCCGGCGGGGGCGCCCCGCGCGGTCGGCCGAGGGCGCCGACCCGGCTCGCCGCGGACTCGCCAGGCGGGCCGTCGAGTTGGAAAGGGTCCTCGCCTCCCAGGTCAGGCTCGGGACCCAGGTCGCTGACTGCCCGCTCGTGCGCGCAGATCCAGGCTGCTTTTCACAGCCTCCTTCCTGCACGGTACGATCTGGGCCCCCACCCACCGCAGCCCGGCTGTGTCCGCCCCTGAGCCCAGACCAGCACTGCTGGGCCGTCACAGATCTGACCTCCCGGTTCCCGGGCACAAGAAGCTAGGCGGGTACGTGGCTCCTGGGGCGCTCCTGAGGTGGGGGGTCACCTCCCAGGAAGCGGTGGTCATGCACTGGGGGTTTTTTTCATCCTGAAGGCCCGTGGAAGCCAAGCCCGGGACCAGGAGCCAGGCACTCTGGCCCTAGTCCCTCTTCTGGGGCGGCCGTGCCCACCTGGAGACCGGTCCTTCACCGTGTCCCGGCCGCGGGGTCACCCCCACCCCGGGGATGACGGGAAGGCACAGGTGGGAAGCACAGGTCCTTCCTGACTCTGCTGGGCCTTGGTGTCCTCCCCGGTCCCCCGGCCTCGGTTCCCTCCTCTGTGGCAGGCAGCGGCCAGCCGGGCGCCCCGAACTGCCGGCCCCCTTGCTCCGTGCTGAGGACAGGAACCTCATCTGCGGGCTTCCTCTTTGTCCGGCCCAGTGCCTGCCCCGTGTTGTCATTTTAAACGGGACGATGAGGAAGCAGGCGATCTCCCGAGTCGAATTCGCCCTTCCTGTTTCCCTCCGGTGCCCTCCGGTAGCAGCTGTTGCCCAAGGCGGCGGTGACGTGGGGCACTGCCCCAGGGTGGCCAGGAGCACCTCACAGCCGCTTCGTCGGTGCACGCTCCTCAACACCCAGGGCCAGCCTGGTGCCGGGCTCACGCCGGTGGGGCTGCCGGGCAGAGAGGCGGAGCCCCTTACCCGGCGGCGTCACACAGCAGCGAGGGAGCTGTGGAGCGCGAGGCAGGCCGGCTGCGGGGTTCACGGTCTCCGGCGCCTCTCCCCGCGGCCTCGTAAAGCCGGCCTCCTCGTTCCCAGGGTCCCCGGAGAGTTTCCTGTGGAGCGTTCCAGCCGCATGTCAGAGCGTCGTTTCTTGACGCATCGATGATAGGTGCTCATCTTTCACAGGCACAGGTGCTGGTAAAACCGTTGTGTTTCTTCTAAGGTAAAGCAGCTCCCCATCGATCCCAGCTTTAGCCGAGGCCCCTCGCCTGGTTAGTAGTGAGGTTGTTGCGGTTGTTGCTCGTCTGGGGCAAAAGGGGGGGTTGCGGGAGTAGGGTGGCGCTGCCGTCACTGGGGTCTGGCTCCGGGCACGCTCACTGCGCGGGGCGCTCCTCCTCACTGCGCCCAGGGCCCGGGCTTCACCTGCCTGAGGCCGGTGCGCGGTGTCGCTTTCGTGTTTAGAAAGTTTAGAAAGTGCGTTTCATCCTGGAGCCTCTGCTCCGGGCACGGGAGGCTGGGGTCTGGCTTACAAGCTGCTCAACTTGGAAATGTTGTTACCTCCAGCTCATTACAAAAGTAACGCTTCTTTTTGGTGCAGAAAGTTTTGAACCATTTGGTGTACTTTTATGCTACTTTCAAACAGGGAGCCACCCTCTCCGGCCAGCATGGATCTGGCTCCCTATGAGGAGCCCAGGCCCCCTTTTCCTGGGAGCGTGGCCGTGGCCGGGGTCGGTGTGTCCGGCAGTGGTGGCCGGGGTAGGAGTGTCCGTCTTTCGTCCCTGAACAGAAGCGCTGACGATGGGCCTCGAGGTGACTCACAGGTTCCGTTTGAGAGGCTAAGGCTCCTTCTGGGGGTCAGAGGGGAGAGCGAGGCCGGGGTTCTCGGGCTTGGCAAATGGAAGTGACCTGGCTGCTCTCGCCTCCGGGGTCCTGGCCCACCCGGTGGGTCGTTGAGCAGAGCACAGGTGAGGGAACGTGAGGGCGCGGGTCCGGTGTTGCCCTGGGCGTCGGCACACCTGCGGCCGCCCACCTGGGCGTGGGGACGTCCACCGCACCGGACAGGGACGCTCCCCCACACACAGGCAGCGCGGTCGGAAGTGAGGCGAGGGAACCTGCGAGAACTGGGCCGCACGCAGTGCCCCACTGTGTGTGGCCGTGGCGCTCTGGCCTGACGGGTGCCCGAGCGAGGCCGTGCCCGGGAGAAGCCGCAGGGCCCCGGGGGACGGGCTGTCGGGCAGCCACGGGCCGGGGTGGCAGGCTGCCAGCGGGGCGCGGGCGGCCCCCCAGCGGCGCCGCACTGCCTGCCGGAGGGTGTGTGTTTGGCGGTTGGCAGCTGTCGGCGCGAAGCGTGACCCTGAGCCTGGCGCACTTCGAGGCCGACTTGTCGCTCACTGGGACGGAAGGGAAGTCAGTGTGCGAACGGGACTGAGTCTCACAGAACAGGGAGGTCCTGCGAGTTGGTGTGTTTCAGGGCCTGGTGAGACGCTCTTTGCAGTTTCCACGGGCAGTGGCTAAATTGTATCTCTGCTCGAATTTTTGCTTTTCACGGTGTTTTTCCCAGCAAGGGGCAGGTGCTGGCACAGTCCGGGCCGGGCCTGCCGTGGAAACACGGGGGGAGGGAGGGCCGGCGGCAGCATTTACCGACCGTGCAGTTGAACGAATGGGCATTGGCTGTGCCCGTGACCTAGACGGTGCTTCTGTCTTGTCTCCCCAAACTCGGAAAGGAACTCGGGGTCACTGGGCAGGCTGCCGGCACATCCCATTTCCCCCACTGGCCCTCCTGGTAAGGCCGCTCCCTGGCCCCTGACCCCTGACCCCTGCGCCGTGGGAGGGAGCCTTCGGGGGCTGCCTCTGGGCAGCAGGGCCGGAGGGGCCACCTGGCCAGGGCATGTGCTGGCGGAGCCGACCCTGGCCGCACGGTTTGGCCTGAGAGCGGCCCGGGCGCCTCCCTCCCCTGGCCCCTGCCTTCCAGAGGCCCGCCGCTGGGAACCGGCCGAGTGGCTCTTGCTGGGGCAGACCTGTCTGACCGAGCTCACGCCTTGAGCAGGGGGCGGCACCTGTGTCCTTAAAAGGTGCCGAGAGGTTCCGGGAAGCCTGTCGCAGGCCGGTGCCGGGTGCCAGGGGAGAGGCGGCCTGAGAACCGGCTGCTGCGGGGAGTCGTTCTGACCTCAGGGCCGGGGCGCCAGCGGCCAGCGGGGCAGGTGCACGCTGACGCAGAGGGAGCGGCCGTGTGTCCCCTGGGCAAACACCGGCTGCTCCCAGGCGGCTGTGAGGAGAGCCAGGTGCAGCCTGGCACCTGCGTCCCCGGTCCGGCTGGGAAGTGACTCCCGCCCGCGGGTGTCGGCGGGTGTTGGCCCCTCTGGGGTGCGAGTGGGAGCCGGGCCAGGACTGCAGCGGCACCAGGGTTAGCGGGGCGCCTGTCAGACGCCCGGGGGAGAAGGGCCAGGGCCCTCTTGTCCCGACTCCGGGTGAGTCAGGCTCTGCGTGTCAGGGCCCCACCGCGACCCCTGCACGGGGACGTCACAGCGTGGTGGGGCGGGGGGCGCGGGCAGTGTGCGGGGAGGAGGCTGGGCCCCGGTGTGGCCACGGCTCCGAGCGCCGCCATGCTCCCCGGCTGCCGTGTGTGTGCGTGCCGCATGGGGCTCGGTGCTGGGGCAGGGTCCGCGGCTGCAGGGGGGCCGGCCTGTCGGACGGGGAACCAGTGCACGCCTGTGGGGGGGCCGGGGAGGTGCCGGGTGGCCCTGCACTCCGCGGTGCTTGGGGTTCCCCGTGGGGCCACGACCTTGCTGTGGATCAGGGACTCCCCCTGAGCACCTGATGAGTGTCTGAGTCACCTCCTGGGGGAAATGAGCACAAACAGAAGTTTGTCATTGTTTCCCTTTCATTTCCCTCTTTTTAAAAATGTAATGTGTCTTTTTAAAGCATTGTTACATATATATATATTTAAAGATTTTATTTATTTATTTTTAGAGAGGGGGGAAGGGAGAGAGAAAGAGAGGGAGAGAAATATCAATGTGAGGTTGCCTCTCATGTGTCCCCTGCTGGGGACCTGGCCCAACCCAGGCATGTGCCCCGACCGGGAATCAAACTGGTGACACTGGTTTGCAGCCTGCGCTCAATCCACTGAGCCGCACCGGCCAGGTTTCTTTCTCTTTTTTAGGGAGGTGTAGAAATTCGAGGATTTTCTTGACCTTGGTTTAAACCCCGCCCGCACCAAGGCCCAGGAAGTGTAGCTGGGCACGGGGCAGGGCAGGGAGGGCGCTCCAGCAAGGCTGCGGGGGCTGCGGCGTGGGGCGGAACGCCCCCGGTCGAGTCGTTGCTTCCACCTGTTCTTGCACCCTCACCTGGGAACACTCTCACCCAGAGGGCGGGGGGCAGGGAGAGAAAGCACCACGGTGAGAGGGAGCGGTGTGGATCGGCTGCCTCCCGCACACGCCCGGACCGGGGATCGAACCAGCGACCTTCCGTTTTCCCAGACGGGGCGCCAGCAGCTGAGCCACCTGGCCGGGGCCCCGAGGCCTGTCTTTAAGGTCCCCTGAGAGGCACCCGCGGCCTCGCGGTCTGGGGGCGGCCCCTGTGCCCCGAGGAGACCAGGGTCGCTGCTGCGTCTGGGGGCGGAGGCCCTCGCTGTGCGGGTCTCTGTCTGCGTGTTGCTCACGTGTAATTTCACGGCGCCGAGTAGACTGTGTGTCATCCGAACAGCTCGACCTCAGAATTCGCACCGGACCTGCACAGTGGACGCGGAGTTCTCGCGTTGTCGGGGACTTTTCCCGCTCTCCGGGGGCTGCGTCTCGGCTGCCCCGCCCATTTCCGCAGAGAAGAGGGGCCGCCCGCGCCCCTCCACCTCCGTGACCCGGCCTGGAGACCCGGGTCTGCAAGCTCCGAGCCGGTCGGGCGCTGCCCCGCAGGCGGCCAGCCCTGTCTCCAGAGGAAGCCGTAGGGGCGGCTGCCCGAGGCCCCCGAGCCAGCAGCCCGGGAGGGCGGGCGTGTTGGGTTCTGAGCCGGGGTCCGCAGGGCGGGACGCGTGGCCCTAGTGGGCAGAGCCGGGCATGCTCGTCCCAGGCGGTGGGTGCTTTGTGGGAAGTGGGCAGGCACGTGGGGGGGCGTCCTGGGCTGGTGCCCGGCCGGGGTCCCCGTGGTGAGACTGGGAGACTAGGAGCAAGGATTCACTGCGGCTGCCAGGGGCCCGGGGCTCCCTCCCCCACGCTGCTCCGCCGCCGTCCCTTCTGTGAAGGGACGTGCCCCGCCCTGGTCATCTGGCCGCACAGCCGCGCCGGCTGCCTGCGCTGGACAGTCGGGGCAGTGGCTCGACGTGTCCTGTTGTCCACTGGGCTCCGAGAGCCTGTGTTGGCCTCTCCGGGGCCCCGGTTCTCAGCTTGCTCGGCGTCTCTGTGAGCTCGGGGCGGGGCGGGCCGCCCGTCCTCATCGTGGCCCACGCGTTGGTGCTTGGACCGCCGTCAGGGGGCCTCTGGGGGTCGCCCCGGCTGCGGCGATATCTGACAGCTTCCAGCCGTCCAGTAGGACCCCTGTTTCAGCACCAGCCTGCTCCCCTCCAGGGAGGCCCGGTTCCCCCGGGTGGCTCCTGGGGGGCAGAGCGGGTTGCTGGCCACGTGGCCGGACCCTGTCCGTCCTCTCAGAGCAGTGAGGAGCGAGGGGGGCGGCGGCTCCTCCAGGGGGTGGAGGAGAGGCTCTGCTGGGGCTCTGAAGGTGCCGGCCCCCTGGGCGGGTGCAGGGTCGGGGAGCGAGAGGAACTCCGGGGCGAGGCCGCCGAGTGTGCGCAGGACCCCCGCCTGAGCCGCTCCACCGCTGCTGGTCGCCAGGCTGCACGACAGTTCCCCGGGGTGGGGTGGGGTGGGGTGGGGGGCAGGGCCCTGGGGAGAGCCGGGGGGCCCCCTGCTGCCGCTCCCACGCTCAGGGCCAGGCCCGTGGGGACAAGGCCCGCCTGTGGCTTCGGTGTCCTGCCGCCCCTCCTGATGGGACGCGCGGACGTGCGTGGGGGCACACGGCGCCTCAGCGGAAGCTGAAGTGGGTGTCAGCTTGTGCTGGCAGCTCCTCCAGAACAGGGACGGCTTCGGGCTGACGGGAAACACACGTTTCACCGAGCTCTCCCACTCCCAACACCTGCCTGCTTCTGCCAGGCCCCGCGGGGACCGTCAGCACGGCCCCTGCGGGCTTCCAGCGCCCGCGGCCGGCCGAGACTCTCCTGGCCGTGGGACCGTGCCACGAGCGCCGCTTCCTCGTGTCTGTCTGTGCGACTGCAGGGGTGGCCCCCCAGTGAACACGGCTCGTCGGCAGACGCCGGTGCCGCCCCGGGGGGTGTGTCGGTGCCTTGGGGTCCCGGCGCCCTGTCTCCTCGCCTGTTTTCAGAAACCACGCATCTGCTGTCTGCTGCGGGACCGCTCACTTCGTCCCTTTGCTCAGACGTGACTGAGGCTGACTGAGAAAAGGAGCACGAGGGGGTGTCTGAGGACCGTCTCCAGCCGTGGGGCCTCTGGAAGCTAAGTGTGCAGACACGTTTCTCCCCACAGGCCTCCCCCACCGTCGGACCCCCACGCAGCCCCGTGCGGTGCCCGCCCACCGCCGATGGAGACCGGGGCGATGGTGCAGTAAGGACCGCGGGCGGGCAGGCCGCAGCCAAGGATGGACGGGGACGAGGAGTTCTTTGACGCCGTCACAGGTGGGCGCGTGACCCGGCCCAGGCCCAGACCGGCCCTCGCGGTGGGGGTGGGGGTGGGGGTGGGGGTGGGAGGAGAAAGCCCATTCCCAGGCCGGGCCACCGGGCTGGGGGAGGAGTGCGGCCCGGGACCCCCGGGGTCACAAGAGAGGGCAGCCGAGGTTTAGTCTTCAGGAGTCTGGCCCCGTGACGCCACTGGTCAAGGGCCGGCTGGTGTTCGACACCCCCCACCCCCCATTACGGCCGTGGTGAGGAGTGGTGCCGCCTGGCGCTGGGAAGCCGCCCACCCGGGTGCCAGAGCAGGGACGGTGCGGCTGGGGTGAGCCACGTGGGGCCCGGAACCGGAAGGTCAGGACGGCCTTGGCTCTCTGCCTGCGCCCTCGGGGACTCCGGAACCCGGGCATGGACCAGCAGCCCAGGTCTCTGACCGACCCCGGTTGGACCCCCAGGAGGGGCTGCTGGGCACGACGTCCTCTTTCACAGTCAGGGCCGGGGCCACGCGCTCCGGGTCCAGCCGAGCGCCCCAGCCCCCCCCCCACCAGCCAGCGTGCGTGTCCCCTGCGGGGCTGCGGCATGCTGCCCGCCAGGGCTCTGCGGGCGGGCGGGCCTCCACCTCCTGGGCCGCACGGTGACCTGACCGTCTGCTTGTCCTGAGCAGGCTTCGACTCTGACAGCTCTTCCGGGGAGCTCTCGGAGGCCGGTCAGAGGGCCCCTGGCCCGGCTGACGCGGACGCCGGCAAGAGTAACGGCGTCGGCCAAGACGAGGAGAGGCCCCCTCAGGAGAATGGGGTTCAAAAGCACAGGTATATCATCCCGCGTCCGTGTTCTGGCACCTTCCAGCCTGTCTGTGGTGGCCCCAGGGAGCTGCGTCCTGAGTGCCACCTGGGCCGGCTCCGGGCGGCACCCCGCGCCGGCTCGGCCCAGGATTCCCAGACGCCACGCCGCTCCGAGTGGGCCTGGAGACCCGCGGCGGCACCTTGCGGGGACTCGGGGCGCGCCGCAGGCGTGCTGGTCGGTCGGACGTGAGAGGAAGGGCTCGTTGCGGGGAACCCGGGTTGCGAGCGAGCCGGCGCCGGCCGGACAGTGACTCGTGGCCACTGGGCCACTGCCTTTCAGGACGCGCCTGCCGGCCCCGGCCTTCACCAGGAGCGACTTCAGCCTGTGGGGGATCCTGAAGAAGTGCGTCGGCCTGGTGAGTGGGCGTGTGCCGGGGGCTCTGCGGCGAGGCGGGGGGCGAGGGGGGGGGGCACTAGACCCAGGAGGTCGCCCTGCTTGTGCAGCGGCGTGGCCCCTGGTCGGCTGCCTTCTGTGATGGGCGTGAGTGGGGGTGTCTGTGGGGTTCACAGAGGGCGCACCCCGGCAGCCCGCCCACGCAGGGCTGCAGGCAGAGCCAGGTGCTCAGAATCTGTAACTGGGAAGAGGGGTCCCTGGGGTGCAGAGGCCATGGGTCCGTCCCTGTCCCTCCACCGACTGGCAGGGTCCTCGCTGTGCTCCCGGGGCGCTCCCCAGCGGCGGGTGGGTCCATGCTCGGCCGCACCCGGGGACCCGGCCCCGCTCCAGGTCTGCGCAGAAAGGCTGCCCCTCAGGTGCCCGTCCCGTCCTCCTAACGCTGCCCGCCTGCGGCCCCGGTCCAGCTCCGTCCTTGCCCCAGAGGGACCTTCATGGCGTCTCCCAGCGGCGTATTTTAGAGAAAGTGTGGACCCACAGATGGGCGAGGCCGCACTCACCCATGGGGTGGCAGAGGTGCGGTGACCCGGCAGAGGGCCCCTCGGTGACACTGCCGACTGCCGTGGCGCGGGGGTGGCCGTCCCCTTGGTCCGCTGCCCTTCCCCCCGCACGTTCAGGAACTCCCCTCTCCGCGGCGGCGGCCCCCCGCCCGGGGCTGGACCGCTCCGGCCCACGGAGACGTGCGTCTGGGGCCCTGACCCTCTGGGGCTTTGTGGCTCTGTTCTGTGGGGGGCCTTCCGGGGCGGTGGTTCGCTGCTGGCTTTCCGGCTGAAAGCTGCTGAATGCCGTCTGGGACCCGCAGGCAGCCCCTGGTACGGGGAGCGGGGGGACGCAGGCCCTGGGGCCCCTGGGAGGCTGCCGGGTGGGACGGCAGCAACTGTGTTGTGACTTGTGTCCACGGTGCTTCAGACTTGGGGCGACAGGACCCCTCCAGCCCATGTGTGTGTCTCTCCTGTCCCCCGACACCTGGGGGTGAGAGGGGCTGAGGACTCTTGGATGATGTTTTGGGGCCACAGATCTGGAAGTGGCATCGGGGACACACTGCAGTGGGGGGCGGGCCACTGGGGGCGCAGGTGGGGTGGAGGAGGGCGTCGTGGCCTCTCCTGCCGCCTGGCTGTGTTGGTGGTCTGAAATGGGGGTGGGGGGACGTGGGGGGACGGGGCCCCAGTCGGAGCCATCCTGTGGGAGGCAGCAGGGCGGAGCGGCCAGGGAGGAGCGTCCAGGGGGAGGACAGGTCCCTGCAGTCGTGGGCCGCGGCTCCGAGAAGTTAGAGGGTTGCAGCGGTGGGGGTGGGACACTGTGGGCAGGGCTCCCGGGGAGGGCTGCCTGTGACGCCCCTGCCGGCCCCAGGAGCTGTCCAAGATCACGATGCCCGTGGCCTTCAACGAGCCCCTGAGCTTCCTGCAGCGGCTCACCGAGTACATGGAGCACACGGCCCTGGTGCGCCGCGCCGCCCGCCAGCCCCGGGCCCTGGAGCGCATGCAGGTGGGCCGGGCCGCGCTGTGGTGGGGGCGGAGCTGGGGGGCGGGCCTCAGTGTTTGTGGGCGTGGCCCCCTGTGGCTGACCTCATCATGGCAGGGGCCCGGCACGCCCTGGCGCAGAGGGCCTCGCCCTGGGCTGTCCTGCCCAGCGGCTGAGACATCGGTGCCGGGCCCCACAGGGGTGCACCGAGCCTGTATGTGTGTGTGCACGTGACGTGTGCCCCTGTGAGTTCGTGTGTGTGTGTGCGCGTGTGTGAGGGGGGACAGACACACGGCCCTCGCCGCAGGGCCTGCCGGGAAGCATGGGCTGGGGCGGGAGGGCTGGGCCCCTGCTGTGTGCAGAGGCAGAGGCGGTGGTGACGGAAGGGGCTTCCCCGGACGGGGGAAACCGGCACCAGGGGCAGGCTGAGCCGGCACCAGAGGGACAGTCCGGACGAGGGCGAGTGGGGTGGGGGGGGCCTGCCGCCCTGCCGCCCGGGGGCTCCTCCCCGGGGGCCACTCACAGCCCGTGTCGCCCGCAGTGCGTGGCTGCCTTCGCGGTGTCGGCGGTGGCCTCCCAGTGGGAGCGGACCGGCAAGCCCTTCAACCCGCTGCTGGGAGAGACTTACGAGCTGATCAGGTGAGGCCAGGCCTCGGGGGAGGGGCCGAGGGGCAGGTGTGGGTGTCCGGTGCGCGTCCGCTCTGATCTCAGGCCCCGGGGGCGGGGTCGTCCCCCCCCCCGGGGGCCCGCGTCTGCAGGCACGCCGCTCCCCGCCCCCTGCTCCCGTGGGGGGCGTCCACGCGGGCACTCACGTCCTAGGGCCTGACCTGGGTCTGGCCGTCCCGAGGGTGGTGCGGGGGCGTCCCCGGGCCTCTCCGGGGGACCTTGGGTCGGCCGGCTTGGAGCCGGCAGAGGTGACGAAGGGCACACGCAGCAGGTGGCCCTGGGCCCAGGAGAGGGGGGCGGCCCTGCGCCTCCCGTGTCCAGACGGGGAGACTGAGAGGCCCAGAGGCGCTGCCGGAGGGGGCGTGGTCTCGGATTGACCAGTGCTGTCCCCCGAGGGGCCGGCCAAGCAGGCACCGCGTGGGTGCGTGGGGTCGGGACGGGGTCAGCCCCTCCGTTCATCTCACGGGAGCCGAGAAGGAGACGGGGGGCCGCAGTGCGATGGGAGGGGCGACGGCGGGAAACATGCCCCCCCCCGGGGACCGAGGGGCCAGGGCGCCCAGACACCGGGGGCCGGGCTGCGCCTGGCCCTCCCCTGCTCAGGGACCTCCGCAGGCCCGGCCCCGGGCTCGCCGACGGGCAGAGGAGCTCTCCCGCCGCGGTTCCGGCGCCCGGGGGCCGTGTCTGCGGCTCGTCCTGCGGCCAGGGCTGGGCAGCTGCCCGGTGGGAGCAGGAACCGGCCGCGTCCGCCCTGGCCGGTCCGGGAGCGACAGACGCCACTGCTGCTCTCGGACGAGCACTCATGCCATGAGGTCTGTGCCCAGGCGGCCACCTCGGAGCCTAACTTTTCGACTTTCCTTCCTCTTCCTCTGCGCTGGTGGGAAACTCAGAACCCAGCGAAGTCAGTAATTATGTGGTTTAGCTTTTGTCATTTCTGATGACTGCAGCTGTAGGTGTGTTCATAGTTCCGGAACAGTTTAAAAATGACATTTTCACTGAACAGGAGAGTGCGGGAAAACTCCCGTTTCCTGGACAGAAATATCTTAGGGCCTGAGACACCCCGTCGGAAAACCGCCCGGGGCTGCGGAGGAGCTGGCGGGCCCTGGGGGAGGCGGGCAGCCCTGGCCCCCGGGCCTCGTCCCGACGGGCCCTGGCAGCCCTGCGTGTGCTCGGGGCGGCCCCGGGGGCCCAGCTCGCACGTACGTGTGTGCGTGAGTGTGCACAGGCGCGCGTGCCGTCAGCACAGCGCAAGCGGGACGTCACGGCGCAGGTCGCACATTTCTCACACGAGCGGCAGCGTGGAGTGGTCCTGTCTCCCAGCGCCCCCCCCCCTTGCCCCATGGTCCCGCGGCTGCAGGGCCTGGGGGACACAGAGCCGGCCGTTCTGGGGGGCCCGCCGTCGCTCACGGCCCCCCTCCCCCGCCCGCCCAGGGAGGACCTGGGGTTCCGCTTCATATCGGAGCAGGTGAGCCACCACCCGCCCATCAGCGCGTTCCACGCCGAGGGCCTGCGCCAGGACTTCCGGTTCCACGGCTCCATCTACCCGAAGCTCAAGTTCTGGGGGAAGAGCGTGGAGGCGGAGCCGCGGGGCACCATCACGCTGGAGCTGCTCAGGTGGGCGCCGGCGGGGGACGCCCCTTCCCCAGGGGCCGCTCTGGGGGCGGGGCGGGTGGCCGTCCAACAGCAGACACGTCCCCAGTCCAGCCGGAGCCGCGGCCGGCCCTGGCTGAGTGGGGGGGGGAGTGAGTTCCAGCAGCAGAGGTGCCTGAGGGGCTACCCGTGAGGCTGCCCCACCCTGTCCACTCTAAATCTGAGCGCTCCTCCGTCCGCTGTGGGCCACAGACACGTCGGAACAACCGCAGTGTCCCCAGCAGTCACCCGGCTGCGGTGGAGCCATTGCAGCCGCGGCCCAGGCCGGGGAGCAGGCGCAGGCTGCGGCGAGGCTGCGACCGACTGGACCACCGGCGGAGTCTGTCCCCCGTGGGCCCGGCTGGCTGGCTGGCTGGCTGCGAGAGGCCCACGAGGCCCCGGGCGGGGGGGGTGTCGGTGAGGTCACCAGGCCCAGGGAGGACGGCCCCTTCTGGGAGACGTTTGGGTTCCACCTGGGAGACTCGAGGAGTTGCAGATAGTTGCCGTGAACCACGTCACCCTGAGCTGGCCTGGCCCTTAAACGTGGCTCTTCGATGCGGCGTCCCTGGGGACCTGGGTCTGGGGACGGCTCATCTCACATCCGTGGGGGCTTTTCCTTGGGGGTCAGGCTGCTGGGGAGGGCGAGGAGCTGGGGGACGGTGAGGGCCGTGCGGTCGGCAGGGCAGCCCTCGGCGCCTCTGGGAGCCCCCGCCCTGCCTGCCTGTGCGGTGCGGGCTGCGGGCCAAGAGCCCCCTCCGTCCAGCCTCATTGGCATTCAGGTGGACACTCTGTTGTCGCCACAGAGGAGGGGGGGCTCGGTTTCAAACGGAGGCTGAGTGACTCAGCGGCAGTTCAAAGCCGCGGCCCGCTGCGGCAGGCTTTGAGGCGGTGGCATCCGCTCTGTCTGGGGTTGTGCTCCGCGGGCTGGCCGGGCTGGGCCCGCCCCTGACGCGCCGCGGCCCCCCTGGCAGGCAGGAGGAGGCCTACACCTGGACCAACCCCACCTGCTGCGTGCACAACATCATCATCGGGAAGCTGTGGATAGAGCAGTACGGGACGGTGGAGATCCTCAACCACAGGTAGCCCCCGCCCGGCGCACCCCGCCCGGGGCACCCTGTCCCGCGCCGGCGGCGGGGCAGGGAGCCCGAGCCCGTGGGGGTGGGGCGGGCCCTGCCGCGCTCTGTGTGGACGGTGCTTTCTCTCTACTCACGAGCCGGCTCCTTCTGAAACGCTCAACCACACTGGACAGCGGTGCGGGGCCCAGGCCACTGCCCGGTGTCCCCCCTCCCCCTGTCCCGGCCCCTCCGTGCCTGCTGTCCCCTCCTCCTGGACCCCACCACTGCCCGGCCCGCCCCGCCCCGCCGCAGCTCTGCTGAGGCGTCACTGGCTCGTCAGAAAGTCCGCCGTTTAGGGTTGGACGCTTAAGTGACCTGTAGTCTGTGGGCCGGACCGTGCAGCTGCCCCACGGAGGGCCCGGAGCCTTCGCACCCCCGGGAGGCCCCACATGCTTGGCCGTGCTCCCCCCGTCCCCCCCACCCCCGCCGGGGCAGCCTGTCCACCCGCCCCCGCCCGCCCCGCAGCGGAGGCCTGTGTCTGCTCTGCCCGCAGGACCGGGGACAGGTGCGTGCTCCACTTCAAGCCGTGCGGGCTGTTTGGGAAGGAGCTGCACAGAGTGGAGGGCTACATCCAGGACAAGAAGTAGGTCCGCGGGCCCGGCGGGCGGGCGCGGGGCCCTCTTGTGCCCCCTTTCCGTTCAGACAGATCGTTTCGTGATTGGGCGTAACAGGAGCAAAAGACGGGTTCTCGGTGGCCCATCTGTGTGCCGCCCTCTCTCGAGGGTGAGGGACACAGTGGGGCGTCGCCACGGAGCCGGGGCCGCGGCCTCACCCCGAGCGGAGACCCGCAACCCACGGGGCCTCCTCCTCTCGCCCCGCCCCCCGCCCACCGCGTGTCCGTGTCCGCGGCACGGTTCTCTCCAGTCCGTGGATCGGGGAGTTTTAAAGGTTTTGTGAGCAGAGAAAGGGTCAATAGCGTCTTAACAAATTTTCTGCGTGTTTTTTTCCCTCTGGGTTATTTGCCGTATGTTTGGGTCTCAACTTTCTCCCAAGCGACTCAGGTCACGAGGCTCCGTCCAGCCCCTGCACTCTGTGCGCGTGTGTCTGGTGAGACACAGGCCGCTCCGTGACGCAGGGGGGCGGCTCGGTCCGCTCTGCCGGGCCAGAGGGGCCCACCGGGCAGCCCCGAGAGCGCCTGGCACTGCGGCCCTGCCCACCCGGCCCCCTGAGATAAGTCGGGGCTCTGTGCCGACCGCCCGGACAGCGGTCCCGGCCCAGGCAGCGGGACCTGCTCCGTCACAGCCTGTGCCTGGTGGAGTCCCCCCACCCTGCCCTGGAGGGTCCTCAGTGAGGAGTGGCGGCCCTCCAGGCTGAGCCGCTGAGGCCGGGTGCGCCCGATGCCCCGCACTGGCAGAGCGGATTCCCAGGCTGTGGGGCTCCCCCCCCCGCAGGAAGGGGGCCTCGCTCCTTCTGGAGCCGCGGGGGCCGGCTGGGAAGGGCCGCGGAGGCGTGCCGCTGCTGGAGGAGGCAGGCGGGCGGCGAGGGGCCTCGTGTGGCCACAGCGGCACAGCCCACTCCCTGTGCGGGCTCCTGCCCCCGGGGCGTGGGAGAGGGGCGAGAGGGCCGGGCGCACGCAGCCCCGGGAGCCAGCGAGTCTCGGGGCGTGATGTGCATGCGTCTGTGTGTGCCTCTCTGCCCCGAGCCTGCGGCCGGCCACCCCGGCCCGTCCCGCCCCGGCCGCCCTGGCCTCTCAGGGCGTGTGGTGTCTGTCTGAAACGGCAGGAGCAGAGGCCCTGAAACGCACGTTCCCTCCTTTGCGTTTATGCGCAAGAGCCCCACGTGGGCGAGACAGCCAAACCGCCTGTGCTCTATGGGCGAGGCTGCGGGCCTCGAGCGGGACGGCCGGCGCCTCGCCCCGCCTGACGCGGCTCCAACCCCCTCCGTTCCAGCAAGAAGAAGCTGTTCGTCATCTACGGCAAGTGGACCGAGTGTCTGTGGGGCGTGGAGCCCGAGGCCTACGAGTCCTTCAGGAGGCAGGGGCGGCGGGCCGAGCCCCCCGGAGCCGCTCAGCTGGTAAGGTGCCGCCCGCCCGCCACCCCCGCACGGCCGGGCGCGGGTCCCGGGAGAGGACGCCAGACTCGCCGGTCAGTTGGGGCCTCTGCGACCCCACGGCGCGGAGGGCATGCTGCCCTCGTCGCAGTGTCGGGTGGCACCGGGGGCCCTCCGTCCCCCCTGGAAACGCCTTGCTGTGTCTGCCTGAGGGCTGACCCCCGTCTCCCAGCCCCTGGCGGCGCAGGCCCGGCCGAGAGCCAGCAGGACCATTCCCGGGGCCGCTCTGAGGGACAGGCAGCGGCTCCTCCCGGGGCCCCTGGGCCCGCCCACCCGCAGGGCCCCGTTTCCCGGGTGACGCACCGGCCCTCCGCGTGCGGTGTGGGCTGGTAGCCGGGCCCAGCGACCCGCAGACGGGAAGCTCATGCTTCCTGTGTTTCCGCCCCGGGCGCTTCCTGCGTGCGGCCAGGCCTCTTGTGCAATGAGGCTCCTGCACGGGCAACGAGCCGGGCGTCCCATGAAGACCCATGGGCAGGCACGTCGGACCCCCCCCCCCCAGCTCGCTGCCATGTTTGTGCTGAGCGTCCGTGTTGCTGGGCCCCCTGGAGGTGACGGAGCCTCGTCCCGGTTCAGCTCCGGGACCCACCGCGTGACCTGCAGGCAGGCGGCAGCCTGCAGCTGCGTCTGCCGCGCTGACCCGGGTGGCCACACAAATGAGCGCCATCCCCCGGCCCCTTGCTTCTGGAAGGGGGCCGCAGGCCTCTCGGGGAGGTGTGGTCTCCGGGTGGGCGTGGCCTGCAGGTGCGTCCCCGCCTCCCCCAGTCCGGACCACGTCTGGGCTGGGGGAGCGAGGAGGGGGTCCCCCTCATGCTGGACAGATCGCGCTTCCAGACCGCTCCGCCAGCTGGCGGCCAGTGGCGGTCAGACGTGGAAGCGCGTCCTTTCCCGGGTCCGCACTCCCAGGAGGAGAGCCGGGCCCACTGCTGCCTCCGCGCCCTGTCCGCGGGGGGGGGCCTCAGCACGGGAGCCCGCCAGGGGGCGAGCACACAGAGGCAGGAGCCCCTAGACTGTGCTAGCCAAGTCCAGACGGGCAGCGGCGTGCTCCTCCCCGGAGTGCATCTCGCTCCGCTCGGGGCTCAGCATCGCGTCGGAGAGGCGTTCCCAGGGCCGCTGCCCCTCCCCCGCTCAGCCCTGCGCTCCGCGTTCCAGGACAGCCGCGCGGAGCGCGCTGACGGGGACGCCGGGGACGCCGGGGACGCCGTGCCTGAGGCTCCGGAAACGGTGCAGGTCATTCCCGGCAGCAAGCTGCTCTGGAGGGTCAACAGCCGGCCCCCCAACTCTGCGCAGGTCTGTGCGCCCCTCCCCGACACCGCCCTCCGCAAGCCCCGCCTTCCGCCGGCCCCGCCCCCGCGAGCCTCCCGGCCCCGCCCCCAGAGCCGCATCCCGCGGTCAGGCGACACAGGCAGTGCCCCGTCCACATGGGTCCCCCAGACGCGTGGACGCAGCCGACCCGCACGTCGGCACACGGGGGTCGCTGCCCCAGTCCATGGAAGGCGTCCGCCCAGCGCCCTGCGGAGCGGTTCGCGGGGACGCTGCCTCTGAGTGGTCACTCCAGATGCATTTCGGTGTTTGTTTTTGGAAAACTTGCAATCTGTGTCACGCACAGTGACATGTTAATAGTTCTATAATAAGGATAACGTGACAAGTGCTTTTTCAGTTTTAAATTGTACATTGTTTACATACAGAACACATGCAACATATAACTTTTCGTGGCATCGTCACACCCTCTTACAGCGCAGGGCACGTGTAAAGTAAAAAGCCACTCGCCCCGGAGATGCAGGGGACACACATGCAAGCTGGGGGTCTGCCCCGAGAGGGGGGCGAGGGGACCGAGGTCGGCGTGTCCCCGGCCCGGGAGGGGCCCTGCCCCGGCGTGAGCTGCAGGGGCGTCTCCAGGCGCGGGAGGCCGTGCCCGCCCCGGACACCCGTGTGCCCGTGTGTCCATGCCCGTGTGACACCCCCTCTGCCCTCAGATGTACAACTTCACCAGCTTCACCGTGACCCTCAACGAGCTGCAACCGGGCATGGAGAGGATGCTGGCGCCCACCGACTGCCGCCTGCGCCCCGACATCCGGAGCATGGAGAACGGCGACATGGGTGCGTGCCGGAGCGGGGCTCGGGGTGGGGCCCCCACCCGGGCGCGGCTCCCTGGTGGCAGTGCGCCGTCCTCGGGTCCCCAGCGAGGGTGGCGCCTCACCCGGCCGCGTGCTTGCCCCAGACCTGGCCAGCCAGGAGAAGGAGCGGCTGGAGGAGAAGCAGAGGGAGGCCCGGCGGGAGCACGACAAGGGGGACACCGAGTGGCAGACGAGGTGAGGCCCGCCGTGGGGCGCGGGGGCAGGGAGGGGGACCCCCCACATCTGGGGCCACGCACGAGCCGCCCCTGCCGCTGTTGCGATGGTGGCGGCAGCCCCGAGCCCAGCACTGCGCCCACCAGGCCGGCAGGCCGAGGCCGGGAGTGAGCCCAGGCCCCCCCCGCCCCCCCCAGCCCTGTGTCCTTGGCCCCGAGCACTGTCCTGAGTGTGGCAAATGCACAAAGACAACGTGGCCGGAACGGGCCGGTGACGGAGGGGGGCCGCTCCCAGGGACGGCAGGCTGCGAGCGGCCGCTGACCCCACTGCCAGCCCCCGTGACGGTGCCCGGCAGCCGCGGCGGTGCCGCACTCCTGCCCGCCTGCGGGGAGGGCTGTCTCTGCAGCTGTCACTGCTCTGTAACTAACGGCCACCCCCTGGCTGCAGCCTGAATATGGGGTTCGCCCCCCCCCGGGGGCTGCCAGGCCGCAGCAGCATGAGTTCAGGGTCCAGCCACGAGCCGGGATTGGGGTCTCGGGGCACGAGCGGCTCCACAGCCGTGTCCAGGGCCCGGCGTGGTCCCCTCGTGGCTGTCACGTGGGTGTCGTGTTCGAAGTCAGCTTTCAGCAGCGGGGCGTGCAGTTTCGCTCAGTATTTTACTCTCGGCAGTTTGATGTGTGGAGTGTGCCCTGTCCCAGCAAGGGACAGTTAATGATGCCCCTGCTAACTGAACCCAGCTAATACCCCTGCACTGCTTTTAAGCAGCCAATTTCAAAAAATACCGTGCAAACACTGATGTTTGTCCCAAGAAGACGATCACCCCCTTTGTGGGTCCCCACGCCCGCCCCCCGGCACCCTGCGGGTGTCCTTAGCTGTCCCCACACCCTGAGCAGAGAGGGGAGGGGCGGGTGGGTATGGTGTTGGGGACTGGGGACAGCGACCGCGCCAGCCCTCCCCGGGCCACAGCCTGTGGCCACCCTCACCTGCGGCGGCACGGGCAGGCCGCTCGGGGCTCAGGCCCCTCTCCGGCGGCGGGCCAGCCTGCCGGTTGGCTGCGAGGCCCGTGAGGTTTCAGTCGGGGGTTTACGGCGTGAGCGGGGGCTGCCCCTGGGGACGCAGGCTGCTGGGCTGGCCCCGCCCCCCGCCCGCTCCATCCCCTGACACCCCCACCCCCACCCCGCCCTGTGTTGCAGGTGGTTCCGCCGGGGCAGGAACCCGCACACGGGCGCCCCCGACTGGCTGTACGCGGGCGGCTACTTCGAGCGGGACTTCTCCGGCTGCCCGGACATCTACTGAGCACCAGGGGTGCCCGGGGCCCGGACGCTGCTGGGCCGCGCTCCACCCGGGGCTCCCCCACGCTCCGGCGTGCAGAGCCGGCCTTCCTCAGGACCGCGTTCGGGGAGAGGGGCGGCCCTGGCCGGCGCCCCACCCCGGTCACCTCTGACCGCCACCCCGTCGCGCTGGCGCGGCCCCTCCATAAAGCTCCCCGTGGGGCGGCTGTGCTCCCATCGAGGTCTGGGAAGGAAGGTCCTTGCACGCCCTGCGGGACGGCGTCCGCGGGGCGTGGCGGCCGGCAGCGCCCCTGGCGGGCCTGTCTCTAGAGGAAGGAGCAGGAAGGAGGGGCCGGGGCCTCCGAGAGGCGGCGTCCCCGTGTCTGGGGCCCCGAGAGCTGGACTCGGCCCCGCGGGGAGCCCCTCCGGGCCGGGGCGAGGCTTCCGGGCGTCAGAGCGGGGAAGTGAGTAGCTGTCAGACTCCGTATTTTTCGCCAGTCTTCAATGATGTAAGGACGACTTTTAAAATTCTTAAGTTAAAAGTTCTCGACTAGGATCTGCTGAAGGCAAGACATGCATTAGTCGCCAACTGTGTACATCCACAAAAAGGCGTCTTCACGGCCCCCGGGGGGCGGCACTGCTGGCCTCCAACGAGTCTTGGATGGACCGCTCCCGGCCACGCCCCCCCCCCCCGGGGCCGCATCCTGCAGGCCACGCCCCCATCCCCAAGCGGGAGCCATTCCAGAGCACGCGTGGTGTGGGCCCACAGCGCCAAATCCTGGTTTTCCCGCCTGTGTGTCTGACACGCGGGCACTGGGGGCCAGGGCAGAGGCTCCGTCCAGGTGCCAGGGGCCCCAGGCGGCGCCCGTCCGGCCCGGTGGCCACTGTCTTCTGAGGGAGCTCAGCCTGGGTCACGGCCCCGCGCTCCGACGGGAGACAGCCCGCTGCACGTGGCGCATAGGCAGGCAGGCACACACACACGAGCACACAGGCGCACGCAGCACACACCTGTGCACACACACACGGCGCCCCCATGCACGCATGAGCACACGGCACACACACAAGCCGTGTGCGTGTGCACATACCTGTCCCCACACACACTGGTGAGAGTGGCGGGCTCCCGGGGAGGGTGTCGCCGCTGTGTCCGGTTGGAATCACATCTGTAATTAAAACACGATTGGCAGCGAAGACTCGCTCCGACGGCGTCCCTGTGTCACCTCGGCCCCTGGCGGCCCCCGTGCTGCAACAGAGCCCTGCACGCAGCCACACGGCCGTTGGCTTGCCGCCTGCTTTCCCGGCAGCCCCTGGGCCTTGGCGTGTTCTCTGTACGACGTCGCGTCCCGGGACCCGCGGGCGTCGACTGCAGCGAAGGGGCCACTCAGGGTGGGGATGGCTCGGCCCCGGAGTGCTGTGGCCCCCAGGTGGGGTCGGGTCGGGTCAGGAGTCCCCAGCCCCTCGGGCTTCCCGCCCGGGTGCCGCCTGCACAGAGAGGTCGCAGAGAAGCAGGTCCTGGTCCCTCGCGGGCGCCCCAGCATTCAACCACCCACGGCTGCCCGTCTCAGCGTCCAGTTCTCTGGGGACGTGCGCCCTCAGCAGGGCCGTGCTGTGTGAGACTGGCCGTCACGGCGCCCCCCAAGGAACGGAAGGGGCCCATGGTTGTCCTGGGCACTGTGCCCCGCTCAGACCGTCCCCAGGCTCAGCTGCTTGTGCTAGAGGAAGGGTCCGCCTGAGGTCAGCCACACCCGTGACCCGGTCTGAGCCCGGCCACCTGGGAGCCGTCTGCCGGGGAGGCATCTACCGGGCTCGCGGGGCTCTGGCCGTCTGCTGGCTGGGTCCCCGCCGGGTCGCGAGGTCAGGAGCCCAGACACACTGCCCAGAGGCGCCCCACAGGCCCCCGCTCCGGGCGCAGTCTCCGAGCGGCAGCGGCCGGCTCACAGGCCCGCAGGCGCAGGTGTAGGCGTCCGAGGGTGCGCGGGCGGGGAGACGGGGTCGCCCTCAGTGCTGCTCCCCGGGCCCGGCCCCCGGGAGGTGGAGAGTGGCTCCTCATGGACAGCGGGCCCAGTGGGGTCGGTGGGTGGGTCTCCTCGTGCTGGTTTCTGCTGTCTCAGCGCTCAGACCCCCAGCCGTCCCCCCGGGGATGCGGCCGTGTCCCCAGAGGGCACCCGGGTGGGTCCCCGGGGGGAGAGCAAGTGACCAGGGCCAGGCCTGCTGCGTGGTGTCCTGCCCCCCCCCACCCCGCCTGTGCAGTCAGTCTCTCCGCCTCACATCCCTCGCACCCTCGGGGGCGGGGCGCTGCAGAGTGATGACCGGTGGCAGCGGTCAGCACCCGCCCGTCCGGGCACACGGAGCAGGCCCTCAGGGTTCCGGAGGACTGTGCCGGCCAGGGAAGATCGGGGCGAAGCCAGCTCCTGGCAAAGGCCCGGCGGGGTCGGCGGGGCCGGGGGAGTCGGCGGCAGCGGGCAGGCGTCTGTCTGCTCTGGGCGGCTCTCACCGCCCCAGTGGCTCCGGCCTTTCGGGACGGGCGCCCGCTGCCGGGGAGGGGCGTGGGTTCTGCAGGGCTGGCTTTGCGGACGGACAGGGGGCCTGGGCTCCCTCAGCCTCGGGAGTCCTGCTGGGCAGTGAGTGTCCCTTCTTCCTGGGCCCAGGCCCGGGCTGGAGGCACTGTGGCCCCCAGAACCTGCTAGTGGGGCCCGAGGGTCCCCGCGGCCTGGCCCCGCCCTCGGTGCCAGCGGCCGGAACTCCCCGGCAGGTGAGCTGGCGGGGCTCTCGTCCCAACGGCGGAGGAGGCTGGGGGGGGGGGGACAGTGCCCCTAGGTGTGAGCGCGCTCAGAGCGCCGCTCGGCTCCCCATGTGGCCGCCGCCGTGGGTCGCAGGGTGTGCACACAGGGACCGTGGACCCCGGGCCCTGGTGGCGGTGATGGGCCGAGGGCCACACGCAGGGAGACTGTGCCGAGAGTGCCCCCGACAACGCGCCCTGCTCTGCCTCGCGCCCCGAACGTGGGGCCTAGAACTGCCCCACGCCCCGAAGAAGACGCAGGGCCTGAGCCCCACGCCGCTGGGCGTGGAGGTGACCGCCGGGATCCCTCACCGAAGGCCCGGCCGGCCGCGGCGGAGTGAACCGGCAGCCCACACACCGGGAGGGGGGCCTTGAAAACCACATCCGGCAGCAGATCAGCGCCCGGGGTGCAGAGAGAATTCCTAAAACCCAGCAACATAAACACACGCGGGCAGACACGCCGGCCTCCTCGCCCGCCCACGCCCAAATGCCGAGTGGAGTGGCGGCTGACGGCTAGGGAAGTGGGGAAGCCACGCCCACCCAGGCTGGCAGCACGGCACAGACGGGAACGGCTGGTTCCTCGCCCGCCCACGTGCGGCGGATGAAAACGGTGGTGCGGGGGGAGGGATTTCTCGGGAGCGAGGAGGCCCAGCCCCACCCAGGTCCCCAGCCCAGGGTCCCAGTGCCCGGAAGGTAAGTCCCTACACTCTGGCCGCAAAAACCAGTGGGGATTGAGTCCGTGGAAGAAACTTCTGGAGCCCCAAGCAGCTCCCCTTAAAGAGCCCACACACGGACTACTCAGACGCACTTCCTCCGAGCTCTGGCGCTGGGGTGGCAGCTTGGAAGGCCCCAGTGGCGTGCAGGGGGAGGCTGAGGTGCCTGGCACCGGGGCGAGCAGAGGCCACTGTCCCTTTTCTGAGCCCGCTCCCACCACACAGCTGGCAAGCCGGTGCCGTATCTGAGACTCCGTCAACCTGGCTGACGCTGTTTGACCTGCCCTGGAGACCCCCAGAGACTCCTCCCCACCCAACTTAGGAGCCCACCCGAGCTGTTAACAGAGACTTTTCCGTACGAACGACTGGTCCTGGCTCCTGCCGCACGGCTTCCTAAACCCTCCCGGACAAGCAGCAGCCGGCCTCAGTGAGCCCCGGGCCAGCACTGGCGGCAGCAGCCCAGGTTCCCAGCTTGGCTTCACCTGGGAATCTCCGAGCCCAGCACAAGCAGCAGCCAGCTCAGGTTGCTTTACAGCTCAGGCAGGGGGCCCCGGGCACAACACAGGTGGGGGCTGACCTTGACCTGCACCCCCAGAAAACCCCGGGCCAGGGCACCCAGTGGACAGCTACAGGCCACGTCGGAGCACCACCACCTGCCCCCGCACGTTTCATCCTCCACGGAGGGTGGAGGTGGGTGGTCGGTGGTCACAGCCGGTCCTTGCCCCTGACTGGCCTGGGTCAATCCCTCCCACTGACCTGCCAACAGCACCCAAGGCTCAACTACAAGAGGAGGGTGAACTCAGCCCACATGAAGGGTGCACCTTGAGTACCCAGCTTGGGTGACAGGGGAGGCTGTGCCACTGGTCCCTACAGGACACCTACTACACTAGGTCACGTTACCAAAACACAAGAGTCAAAGCAGCTCTACCTAATACACAGAAACAAACACAGGGAGGCTGCCAAAACGAGGAGACAAAGAAGCATGGCCCAAGTAACAGATCGAACTCCAGGAAAAGAGCTAAATGAAAAGAAGGCAAACAATCTATCAGATCCAGAGTTCAAAACACTGGTTATCAGGACACCGCAGAGCGCGGCGAGGCCCTCGGCGGCACGGAGCACACCCAGGCAGACGCGAGGGACACGGGAACCGGAATAAGGGACGAGTCTCAGGGGAACAACAATTGCAGGGGGATGAAGCCGGGATTCAAACCAACGATATGGAACGTAAGGCAGCAAGACACAACCGGTCAGAAGAAGAAGAAAAAAGAATCCAAAACAAACCAACGAACCAACAAACCAAAACGAGGATGGTGTAAGGCGCCTCTGGGACAACTGTAGATGTTCCAACATTGCTTCACAGGGGTGTCAGAAGAGGAGAAAACAAGAGTTCGAAAACCTGTCTGAAAAAGCGAGGGAAGAAAACGTCCCTACTTCGGTGGGGGAAGTAGACACACGAGTCCAGGAGGCCCAGGGAGCCGCAGACAAGCGGGACCCAAAGAGGCCCACTCCCGGACACATCGCGGTTAAAATGCCAAGGGTTAAAGAGAAAGAGAGAATCTTAAAAGTACCAAGAGAAAAGCAAAGAATTACCTACAAAGCAGTTTCCATGAGACTATCAGCTGATTTCTCAGCTGAAAAAAAGAAACCTTACAGGCAAGAAGGGGCTGCAAAGAAATATTCCAAGTCACGTTGTGAAAAGCAGGGACCTACACCCAAGACTGCTCTACCCAGCAAAGCTATCATTTAGAATGGAAGGGCAGATAAAGTGCTTCCCAGACAAAAAAATCAAAGGAGTTCATCATCACCAAACCATTACTACATGAAATGTTAAAGGGACTTGTGTAAGAAAAAGAAGATCAAAACTGTGAACAATAAAGTGGCAAAAAATACATATCTATCAACAATTGAATCTAAAAAACTAAGCAAGCAGGCAGAACAGCGACAGAATCATGGGTATGGAGAGCGTTTTGGTGGTTGGCAGATGGGGGTGTGTGGGGGGAGGATGGGGGAAGGGGGAGGGGATTGAGGAGCACAAACAGGCAGCTGCAGGGGAGCCACGGAGACACCAAGTACAGTGTGGGAAGCGGGGACGCCAAAGGACTTCCATGCGTGGCCCACGGACATGGGCAATGGTGGGGGGATTGCCTGGGTGGAGGTGGGCAAAGGGGGAATCATCAGGACAACTGTCATGGCACAATCAATAAAATATAATTTAAAAATATTACAAGAAAAACAACCTGATTCGGCAACGGGCCAAGGGCTGGAAGAGACACCCCCTCTCACTGAGGAGGACACAGGTGCGGCCGAGGAGCAGGGAAAAGACGCTCGGCCTCGCTAACCCCCGGACATGCACATCGAACCGCAGCGAGCCCCGGCCTGCGCGGCCCCGTGGGTTGGATGTTGTCCCCCAAACCGAAAGGTCGCTGGTTCTGTTCCGGGTCAGGGCACAGGCCTGGGGTGCAGGCTAGGTCCCCAGTGGGTGGTGCGTGTGAGAGGCAACTGACTGATGTTTCTCTCCCTCTCTTTCTCCCTCCCTCCCCCCTCTCTCAAAAAAAAATAAATTGGAAAAAACAAAACAAAACACCATCAACAACCCTACAAGGAGATAACCACCTCTCGCCCATTAGGAAAGCTGCTATCTGAAAAATAAAAATGGGCCCTGGCTGGTGCGGCTCAGAGGATTGAGTACCGGCCTGCAA